GTAAAACAAATATTAAAAACACAATGATTATATTATCCTCTCATTCTGAATACTTGCCATTTCCAAATATTCATTCTAAATGAATGCACTCTTACTAAATAAAAGGAAGGTGAGATAAATAGAATTTAAGTCATCTCAACATTTTTTTCACTAAGTGCCTACTATGTGCAATACATACTGTCCTTTCGGAGAAGGAAAAAAAGAAAACCTATTGCATGTGATTATCAAAGAGCAATATAGTTCTACAAATATTTTCCTTGATAAATACTTAAGATTCAGGGAGACACAGAAAGACAATTAGAAAACTAGTCAGCTAATGATGTTGGGAGTTTCCGGATAAAGAAATTGTTATTTTAAAAGCCAACTTTTTCTCTAAAGATGTAGAGCAAGGTAGTTGCTGAGTTGAAATGTGGGTGTGTACGAGTGCTCTGTACCTATGTCATCGTACAAACCAGACCCACTGCTGTCAAGTTTACTGTCCAGGACCCCATCAGACAGAGCAGAACAACCCCAGAGCATTCCCCACACTGTAAATCATTAGGAAAGCAGGGAACGCCATCTGTCTTCCCGACAGCCCTCGGCGGGTTCCAAGGGCAGACCTATGGTTGGCAGGAAGTACATGACCATCTCACACCAGGCTTTCCCTGCCTTGGTACAGCTACAAATAGATGCAAACGTAGGCAATGACAGTCTCAGCAAATATGTCTTATCTATTTAGTAATGACAATAGTTGCGTAGTAAAGACAGATATTCCAATTACTGTAGTAATTGGGCAGATAATCCAATATTCCAATATTGTAGTAAAGACAGATGCTCCAACATTCCAATTCCTTTTCTAACTACGATCAGACCTTCTGGACGGTGGTTGTATTATAAATGCACTAGTGACCGTTCTTATTCATGGAAGCTCACGTTAGCTGGAAACAAAGTGGAGAGGGGATAATTACACAGTGAGTACTTGTCTAGGAATACATGAACAAAAACCCCCAAACTCACTGCCATCGAGTCAATGCCAACTCATAGTGACCCTAGAGGACAGGGCAGAACTGCCACTGTGGGTTACTGAGATCGTTCCTCTTTGAGGAAGTAGAGAGCCTGTCTTTCTTGCATGGAGCAGATGGTGGTTTTCAACTGCTGACCTTGTGCTAAGAAGCCTAACCCTCAACCACTATATCACCAGGGCTCCTTAGGAATATAGACTTGTTATTAATCGACCCTATCATGGATCACAAATCCAAGCGGGGTTGTTCAAAGCCAAAGGAAATTGGAAATATTAAGGAAATATTTCTAGACAGAAATGATCAGAAGATTTGGAAATACAGAATTTTGTCTGAGGACAAAATAATATTGTCTGTGGACAAAATTATGATTGTCCTAAGTGGTCATTTTTTTAGCCTCGGACTCAGGAAACTGGAAAAGCGTCACTGGAAAGATGCTGCGATAGGAATGTTAGGAAATCGAGGGGCCTGGATCACAGTAAGCCATTTATGCACACCAGAGAGTCACTAAAAAACTTCCAAATGAAAAACCAGAATAGATGGAAGCTTACAGTACAAATCTGAATAAACTATCCATCACACTCCTATGCAAATGGCAGGATACTGAGGCGGTTGATTGTTCATAAACTAGAGAGACCTGCCATCCATTTCTGCATTCCCTAAACCTTCCTTTCCAGGCCCTCCTCGCCCTACGTATGAGAACAGAGAAAGAACAACTGTATCAAGACCCATTTCTACTTAAATTTGTATTAACACATGACATATCACATCTATTGTACTATCAGGGATCCCTCATGGCACAGAGTGTTCAAAGCAACCCAGCAGCACTCCACAGCTGAGAACGAGGAGACGGATGGTTTCTGTAAAGATTTAGAAGCCAGAGGCAGCAGTTCTATAAGTCAGAAGCAACTTGATGGCCGTGGGTATTGTACTAGCATCTGATTTAGGTTTTAATAAAGTTAAAAAAAAACAGGTTGTTAAGGTAATTAAAAAATGTATTAAAAGCCATTCAAAATAAAGCCAATGTTTTTGACTAAGCAATTACTGGATACACACTTTGTTTCTTCTTTATATCCTAGGGCAATTAACAATGTAAAGTTCATGGCTAGGATTTTCTGCCCTGATATGTTATAATAATCTTAAAATGAATGCTTACATACACACATGAACAAAGCATAAGGCACAATAAATTTGCCTGAATCATTTTGGTTCACGGGTTCTCAGCATTTTAAATTCTGTTTTACATTGTAGCTCCTTCGAATGAGGGCAGATCAATACTCAATGAAAAACTGATTATTTCTCTATGTAGTACACATATTATAAAAGTATATTAAAATATTGAATCCAAAGTGGCACTTCAGTCAAATGTAGAACCAGAAACACCAAATCCAGCCAGCGCTTAAAACCTTCGTATCGATCTATTAAACCCCTTCATTTAGTAGGAGAGCCTGCTACCAGGCCTTCTTCTGGTATCCTCTGGATCAGCTAGTTCACAGCCAGGACCTCAACCAAATGGTAATTTAAATTAGAAGCTGTCACTAAATGTTGTAATAAAAATAAAGTGTGTTTTCACAATCTACATTTTCACAATTATTTATTCAGCTATCAACAGAAGCAATGAAATGAATAAGGATATATGAAATGACTAAGTACTTAATGCCCATGGCTAGTGATTTTACTCACATGAAAAAGGAAATATTACAACCTGGAAAGCAACAGCTCAAAACAAGATATGAGCAAAGAAACACTGTTATTATAACATTAAAGCTCACAATTGGAGAACTAAATTGATTGACAAATAACATTAATCAACCTCACCAGAAAAATGTTCACCTTATAAATTTAATTTCTCTATGAAGCTGCAGCTAAATAGGGTTTTAAAAATGTTTTATTTACTGGCGTTTTAAGATGTCTGCACTGAGCTTACAGGGTAGCGAGCTGATGCTAATAAGCCATACATAAACATCCTACTTACTAAAATACAAATTAGGCACACTTTATGTTTATACATGTGTAAGTACAATTAATATTGCAGGCTTAGTTGGAAACAAAATTGCTTTAGTTAACCAACCATTGCAAAGCAAGCAAATGAGATTTCAAATGCAATTGGAAAAGATATGTCCTGTAGAAATAATAGCAGTCATTTCATGCGGAACAATTCGTTTCCCAAGGTCCCTCCCACCCCTCTTCTAACACCTGCCCTTAATAAAATAATTTGTCTATCATAAGTGACATGCAATGTCACCTTTAACACCCATAAGTTGCATGGAGACCTGAAAAGCAGCTGGTCAACTTAGCTTATTGACAAATATTGGCTTGAACTTGTAAATGCATGACCGCATGCATCTTAACCCATTTAGAGCGTATGTCGTTTGTTCCCTCAGTTGTACATTCACTTGGGAATTCAATGGAATTGAGGCACGTGTGAATTACATGAGCCCTTTCTGGTTGCCAATGGTTAGGGCAGTTGTTGTCCTTGCTGTTCATGATATTTCTCTATATTACACAGCAGGGGGGGTTTAAGCAACATTCCCCCTAACTAATATGAAACTTGCCTTCTTATACTTGAGGGGAGAACCAGAATATTATATTTCTTTTTGAAATGTAAATGTACCTTTCAGGAAATTATTTCTCCTTCTAAATCATCTTAGTGTTTAATTATTAGAGCATAGAACTAAGGAACTATTATACCGACACAATTTAAATATCTCAGATAATAGTGAGGGTAGCACTCAACTACAAATTAAATATTTTAATGTATTTGATTAAAACATTGACAAAATGTCCATCTGTTTTCTGTGGTTTCATAAAATCAATAAATACTTTATGTTTATGATTTCTAATTTCTCTCCACAAGTTTGGATTATATTTGTAGTCTGGAATTGAGATATTTGCTGAAACTTGCTATAGGTATGGGGAAGGAAAGAAGAAAGAAAATAAGAGAAGTATATCTTCTCACGCACTTTAAGTCTGAAGATTAAGAAAATCATTGGTCAAGTCTATTCTCCAAGCATAAAATGGCCACGATCTTAATGCTCTGTCTTCTCAAGATATTTCAAAAGTAAGTCCCATTATAAAGTATGGATAGTTAACACAGGAAGATATGGAAATTACCAAGTCACAAGATGCAAACCATGCATATTCACATTACTTTGAGGAAGGTGCTCAGGAAATTAGTGCAGAGCCCTTTAAAAGAAACTAATTAGTTTTCTCTTGCAGTGAGTTTTATTGTTACGTAATCTGCTTTTAAATTCTAAATAAACTGTAAAGTCATCTAGGAGGAAATTGGGATGTCTCCCCACTGACTGACTATCTGCTAAAAGTTTATAATGCTTACTGACAGAGACAGGCAGGTGGGTGGGTAGGTAGGAGGGTGCATAGGTAGGTAGCTAGGTAGATACGCATGGGAAGTTTTGCTATTTGTATGATCAATCACAAATTGAATGACTCTTGGACTACAAAGTAAGTTCATTGAAAATATACATACATACAGCTAACATCAACTTAAATCTTCTCAAAGTAAGCTAAAGGACAAAGATTACTTCTAGCTCATGTGGAGCAAATAAAATCTGAACGAGGTTTAATACTTACATACTCACTTTAATTGAATTGCCAGCCACGATAGTGATTATAAACTGAATATTATTGCTTACAAAACACAAAGTAGTTAATGCAACTTGGTTTTCAATTAGTATATTCAAAATATATACAATTATTAGTCAGATTTTATAATACCATACTGTGACGGTACATGCCTTTAAGTATGGGAGTACATTTCAAGGAGTACTTTTTTTTTAATGCAATGGAAGCTACAACATTTTGAGTAACTTCTTTCCCGCAGATTACCTGAACGCAGTGTTCTGAAAAAACAAGGACAGCTGTTTTGCTGGCCCCATAACATCATACGACCTTTCACTGCAAATTTATTTTAATGTAATAATACTTATACAAACACAAAAGCTCAATCTACTTAAGTCTAGTGGTAAAAAATAAGGATCTTACTGCAAAATCTTCTCTCCACTGATGGGCTGCTTGAACTCTCTCTGCTTCCCCAGCCAGACGCTGAAAGAGAAGAAATCAATCTTTCAGTTTACATGACCATAATCAATTATAGGGACATAAGAACAGAAGGGACTTCTTGTTTTGATCCATAAATTCTGAATCATTTAGTAATCAAACCTGCTACGTTTGATGCATGCATATTTACTCTTTAGTAATATAAATAAAATACCATTCTTAAATTCCATTACATTTATTACCTCTGCCATCAACAGCAGCAGTGTCCTGTATGAGTGGTTTCTTTCAAAGATCACTATTTCACCTTTTATGAAAATACTTAATCAAGAGAATATATCCATGTTCACGGAATCATATTTTAGCAAATAAAGGAAGGGCATTGAGATCTGAGAAGATAAATATACACCAAGCACGATACCTAAGCACCTTTAGTTTTCACTAAAATTCGCAAATAAATAATAATTTCCACCATGTTGAAGGGCATTCTTGTTGTTGTCTGTTGTTACTTGCCATCAACTAGGCTCAGGCTCACAGCGACCCTCAATACAACAAAACTAGACATCACCTCCTCCTGTGCCAGAGAGCCTCACGGCGGGGCTCATGCTTGAGCGCGCAAGTGCAGTCACTGACTCCGCCCATCTCGTGAAAGGCCTTCCTCTTCTTCACTGGCCCTCAACTCCAGGAAGCATGCTGTCCACTGAGATGAAGTCTCACCGTCGCTGCCTCTAAGCAGCCTCTCTGGCTGTACTTCTTCCAATACAGATCTGCTGGCTCTTTTAGCACTGCATGGGACGTTCCATAATCGTCACCACCGCTAGACTTGAAAGGCATCCATTCTTATTCTGTCTTCCTTATTCAATGTCTAAATTTCACATGCAGATGAGGCAACTGAAAATAGCATGACTTCAGTCAGGAGCACCTCAATCCTCAAAGGAACACCCTTGCTTTTCAACATGGTAAAGAGGTTTTTAGCAGCAGGTTTACCTATCTAAAAAATATTTTAACAGTTTTATATGTATATAATTCACATATCCTAAAATTCAATTGTTGAATCAAACTAAAAAGAGGTGTAAAATCATCACAATCAATTTGAGGACATTTTCTTCTTTATTGCATTCATTATTAGTAGCTCCCTATCCCCCACCCATGCCATTCACCCAACAAACCTTCCCCAGTTACTGTCTCTATAGATTTACTGCTCCTAGATTTCATATACAGAAAAGCATATCAAGATAGAAAGAAGAAAAATAACTCTAACAATAACAACAAAATAAAAAAACAGCTTCGATAAAAACGAAGCAGAGAATACTAAAAACTGGAACAAACTTAAAATGAGTCAAAAGGAGATCGAAGGACATGGTGTTGAAGTTTCGATGTGGTGCATCTGCAGTGGCCTCTTTCCAATGAACTGCATGACAGCAAAGCTGCCTGCGTCCTGCAGCGCGCTCAGCAGGGATTAGCTGGAGGCTCAATCTATGTGTGGAGCTTGCGAATGGATTTTGGGTTTCCACTGTCACCCATAGCCTTCTACAAACCAGATATTCACAATTTAAGTTCTGATACCGTTCCCTCCTTCAGCATCATTTGATCTCTTGATGGCTGCTTCCATGAGCTTTGATTGTGGATTCCAGCAAGATGAAATCCTGGACAACTCCAATCTTTTCTCCATTTATTATCTTGCTATCTATTGATTCCATAGCGAGGATGTTGGTTTTCCTGGCATTGAGTTGTAATCCACACTGTGCAGCAGGTCCTTCTCACATTCAGCAGGCAAGCTTGTGCTATCTGCATATTACAGGTTGCTAATAAGCCTTCCTCCAACATTGATGCTACATTCTTCTTCGTATAATCCAGATTATTTGATAATTTACTCAGAATGAAGATTGACTATGGTAAGTATGGTGAGAGGATACAATCTTTGTTCTGTTTGCACAACTGCCTCTTGATCCATAGGAGTACAATGCAGTGTTCTGGTATTCCCATTCTTCTCATAGCTATCCATAGATTGCTACGATACACACACATAGTCATGAAACACAAATAAACATGTCTGGTATTCTCTGCTTTCAGACAAGATCCATGTGACATCGGCAGTGATCTTCCTCTTCTGAGTCTGGCCTGACCCTCTGGCAGCGCCCTGGCAATCTATTGGTGCAACTGCCACGGAATGATCTGTAGTAAAATTTTACTTGCATGTGATAGCAAAGCTATTATTCTATCATTTCAGCATTTCGCTGAGTCACCTTTCTTTGGCGTGGGTACAAATAGGGATCTCTTTCTGCCAGTAAATTTTCTGGCATCCACAAGTGAGGGTTTCCAGTGCCTCATCAGCTTGCTGAAACATTTCAATTGGTTTTCCAGCAATTCCTGGGACCTTGTCTTTGGCTAGTGCTTTCAGTGTCGCTTAGACTTCTTCCTTCAATATGATTGCTTCTTACTCATATGCTACCTCCTCAGATGAAGGAATATAAAGTAGTTGGTTTTTATTACAGTGACTCTTGTGTAGTCTTTCCATCTTCTTTTGATACTTTCTGCATCTTTCAATATTTTGCCTGTAGACTCTTTCAGGAGTTCTTAGCAGTTCTTTAAGAGATTATGTGTGACCAGTAAACACCTTCAGGAACTATATCTATGAAATGGCTTTATTTCATTGTCGTGTTTTTATGCTAATTAGGTAGCGAATTCTAGGCTAACCTATTTTCTCTTAAGCTTTAAAAAATGTAATACTACTAAGAACAACTAAAGATAAAATGTCTGCTGGCAGTCTGATAATCACTATTTATAGATTTATTTTAACCTTCTGTTCCTTACATTTTACATTTTACTATCATGCTCCCCCTGTAATAAATTCTATAAGAGACAGTAATGTACAAACACACTCCAGTCCTGCAGTGTAGATGTGAGACCTTGGGGAAAAAATATTTAAAGTATTTTCTGACATTTCTTCATATGAGTAATGGAATGATAATAATATACCTGTCTCATGGAGTTGATGAGAAAATTAAATTGTATTTAGTGTTTAGAGCAGTGTGTACCATAAGCACTGTAAATGTCAGCAATCAATTTGGAAGAATAACTATGATACCAATTGCTCTGTGTGTCTCCTGAAGAAAAGAGCTGTGTGTTGAGTTTACCGGTACCCTGCTTCACAACGCTAGAAGGCACTATCAAAAAACAAAACAACAAAAATGTACCTATGAGTAAATATAGAAAGTATTAAACTCAAGAGATAGAAATGATGAGTATCAGTTTTAGAAAATATCAATCTCGTGATGGTTTATTGGTTCACACTTTTTTTTTGCTTTCACGACAAAAACACTAAAGCTTGAATTATTTCTATGGATATCCAGTTGGCCATAGATAATGGAACCATGATCCCTTTAGACCAGTTTTTATATTAGTAGATTAGCTCCTGCTTCCTGTAAGATATAGGCAGCTTCTGGTACATCATATTGGCAAAGGAAAAAAAATCTCATAATCCCATTGCCATCACATAATAATGAATGCTTTTCAGAAGTTTTCCAGCCAACCCTACAGGTAACTTCTTTGTTCTAGAGGAAATTAAGAAAATATTTTCATCTAGTGAAGTTCATGATACAACATTAAGAATGTACTTCAGATTCGTAGAACTATTTACTCATGCTGAAGATCTTGGCACTGGCTCAAAAGCTTGGTGAAGGTATACTTTGCTGTGGCAAAAGATCAACTGGTTATTACTTACAGGAAACTGACAAGCCTGTGGCCACTTTAGGGTCTCTAATTAGCTTCTATACCAGTCAAGTGAAATTTTTAAGTCAATAATCTACTATTAAATGCCATGGCAAATTGTGGTAAGACTGAAAAATGTCTACTTTGTGAAATGTGACTATTCGGTAGAATCTCTTTGTTCCCATAGTTTCCTTTTTAAGAAGATTCTCTAACAATAAGTTAGCTCAGGGAAATTTTAAAAATTTAGTTATTAACACAATGCCATAACATACTAAAGTATGACTTAGCACCAGACAGAAACAAAGACCCTGTCTCTACTATCAGACGTATACCCCATATAGTCAGTTAGGGTAGCACAGGACGACATAAAAAACTCAACCCCCTACAGCCTATCATATTACAAATCCAAGTTATATACAAAAGGGCTTCACAATGTTCTGGAGGAAATCCTTTTTAATTTAATTCCAATTTTCCACAAACATTTTGAAAATCCCTTGTACAATCATTAATAATAACAAATGAGTTAAAGTTTGTGATATAGATCAAAACATTTATATTAAAATATATATAAGCTATTTAAGTGTATCTTGAAGTGTTTGGTTTTTTATGCATGGAAAGGTACATTGCTATATAACAAGACAAACATTTGACTAAATTATGTCATACACAAACCACACCCTGATTGTTCTAATTTATGTACAAATCCCACTGAATGACAAAACTCCCTGCAATCTGGGAACTACTTACATATATCATGTTATGTTGCGCAATGTCCAAAGTACTAATAAGATCCTGGATGTTTAGATGTCTAATTGTATTAGAGAAACCTGAAGCTTAATTATGCTCTAGTTAAGATAGACCAGAAAAATTAAACAGCTTTATTAAAATAAGAACACAGGTATGTATGAGAACTCTTGAGGTATAGAATAGTAAGTGGTGTCAGATGCTTCAACAATACAGTTCTACCTACCTATTTCTTGAACATGCAAAATAAATAGAAAATCATTTGGAAGCCTTTTACGTTCTCACAACTTTTAACTTAATAAATGAGATTGAACATGAGTTTCTTATTTCAAATCTGATGTTCATTGTCAAAAAAGACATAAAAATATCAACACCACAAAGTATTCAGACTATTAGAAGATATGTTAGTATTATTATGAAGATGGATAGAAATTATTTCAAGCTGAAGGAATATTATTTCAGCAAATTTTTACTAGTTCTAAAGACAAATAGCAAAAGAGTAACAACATGACTTATGTCAGTTTGGAAACTATCCTTTCAAAGGTCTTGCCCTCAGATCCTGAGAGAATATTGCTAATCAGGGAAAAAGCTTT